TTTATAGCATATCTATATATATATATATATATATATATATATATATATATATATATATATATATATATATTTGATTTCATTTTTAACTTTGTAAATCTATACTAAATTTAGATATATGAATATGCAAATGGATCGGATTTGGATATATATTTTATATATTTGTCGGACAGGTTGAGTTGAATTTTCATCTCTCCGTATACTCCTATTTGAATTCATTTGGTTTAAGAAAAATGAATTCTTTTGCAGTCCCAATATAGGGTTTTAATGGACTGGGTTTGGGTTGATTCATTCGAATCAAAACCAATTTAAATAAGTTAAACAGTTGATTAAGACATATTGAATTGGACCAGTCCAGACTTAATAGTCTAACTAAAGTATTTATTGGATTGGCTTGGACCTGATCCATGTATAATAAATTTACATTGGACTGGGTCAGGTTGAACCTAGGCCAATAATTGGATCGGATGTAATTAAATCTGAGTTCGATTCAATTGATAATTCATAATATTCAACTCTGATGGAAATCCAATCCAAACAGATTTCGGATTTCGGATTTTAATCCAAACCCGATCGTCATAGGCAAAAAAAGACAAACAAAACTATATAAAACGAAGAGAAAGAAATAAGTTTTTTCCTAATAATCTTCTTTAGTTATTCTCGTTTACAAAGTTATTATAAGAGCTATCATCCACTCTAGAGCAAGGAAAAGGTCGATTACACTGCTGAGAGGAGAATCCTGGATTCTTGGTGTTAAAAAGGCAAAATGTTCAGATATACTACCATCCGCTCTATTTGTCTTTCCTAATTTACATCGCAAAAGGTAATCTATATATGCTACTTTAAACAGTACGAATAGCCTTTAAAAATTTTTGGAATTTTACTTGGACAAATTTTGCCCCTTTCTATTAATGCTTTCAGATTTGAATTTGAAGATAATTTTGATATTTTGTTGATTGTTTTGAATGAATTGTAACTGAAATTTCATGGAGTATTTAGTTGGATGTATTTATCTATCTTTTAATTAATAATAAATTATAACTAAAATTTCATGAAGTATTTAGCTAGATGTATCTCTCACTCTCTCTTAATTGATATTGAATAAAACCATTGTTATTTGGTCATCTTTAAAAGTAGGTTCAATTGTCTAATGATTTTAAAATGTGGATTTTGAGTGTGGTTCCACAATTTTGATTATGGTTTTTGGGTTAGCTTTTCCATTGGTTTACAAGTAGTTTCTACTCAATCTCAAGATGTTTGAGAGTGTCTCATCCAAAATATCCATTTCAAAAAGTCAATTCTTTTTTCTAAAAAAAATAAATAGAGTTTAAAAATTGATTTCTGAGATTATGAGCATCTCAATATCAACAAACAAAGAAAAATACATGGGTGCCCCAATTATTCAAGGCATAATTGATAAGAAGGCTTTGAACATCACAATTAAAATTAAGAAGAAAATTTACGGTTGGAAATTGAAAATTGTTTTTAAAGATGAAAGAGTGATCCTTATCAAATAATTTTTGAATGTAGTTCTTCTATTTATAAGGCGCCAACTAGCCAGTCAGTAAGGTCTCTTGGATCAAATCCCACTTACACCTAGGTTGGGGGTTATAGGTTCGAGGAATGGGCCACCCCCAATGTGTAGCCCCATGGAGCAAAAAGAAAAGAAAAATAAATAAAAGGTAATTCCTCTATTTCAAATGATACTCAAATGAACATACCCCCAAAAATATTGATAAAATTCGAAGTCAATTCTTTTAAGGCTCAAGAAAGGCATGGGAGCAATTGTAAGACAAGTTAGAAAAGGCTTTACAAATTAATGACTTTTATTTTTGGGAAAATCACTAACAAGCCCTAGAGTTTTTGGAAAATCTATAAGAAGTATTTTTTCCTTTGTGTTAATGATTTTGTATTTGAATTTGAGGGTAAATCAAGTATTTTGTTGATTATTTAAAATGAGATCAAAATAGAACAAATTGAGTCCTCCATTGTTAATTTCTTGTTGAATTATATAAGAGGATAAAAATGGAATTCTTTTATGCTTCTTAAATAACTACACAACATGTCTTTTTTTTTTCATAATGCATAATGTGTCTAAATAGACATCTATAAATTATAAAACTTAATGACTTGTAATTGAAATTGCATGGAGTATTTAGCTAGACAAATTTAATTACTCTAGACACTTGAATCTACATGTTGATTTGTAGATGAATTACAAATTACTTAGGATCTATAAGAAGTGGCAATAAATCTTTAAGGCTTTTGGACTTTTTTTTGACTTAAAATACCCCTCTCTCTCTATTTTGAAGATATAAATTGTAAATTGAATACTATTTTTCATTTCATTCTATTCTCTCTCATCAAGTCTCATATTTAAGGTTAACTTCCATTATCTTTCATAAAATCATATGTTTAATATATTTTTTGTTTCTCATCATAAAATTTCACAAATTAAATTTGCAAATAACAATTTTAATAGTATAAAAACTTATGTATTCAAAATCAACTTGGAAACAAAACCAGTTTTTAGGTATAATAATTAAGAAGAGTTTTTATGAATAATAGAAATGGAATACAAAATTTAAATCTTCCTTAGCAATGAAACCACTATCATGTTTGTTAAATGGTGGAAAAGGAATACAAAAATTATGAAAAAAAGAAAAATTAAAGTCTACTCTATCACCCTAATAAACAAATCGAATGATTAGCTAGGTCACCATGTTGTTGGTCAAGTTAGTGCTATTTTACAAATAAGTAATTTGGTAAAAAATGAAGCTAAAGTCCTAGTCAAGTAACTATTCAATTAGTCTGATTGGTCTTTAGGCAAGTAATGATTCAATTAGCACAATAAATTGAAAATATAGATATAATTTATATATTAAGAAGATTTGATATAAGTCTTTAAGTTGAAAGACAATAAATCACCAATATAGATATACAATTATTGTTGTTGTTGTTGTTATTTGAAATTGCCATGTGCAAAGCACATGCACAGTTACTAGTCTTGTAAAGTAGTAATGGTGTTATGAACTTGCAGAACGGAATTTTCCTATTTTCCCTTAATATTTTTTATATATTATATCACATCCAAGTTATAATTGGAAAACCAAGGAAGGTATTATAGACATTTAATATTAATATTAAAATCTGTTGAATTTTTATTGAACCATATAAAATTAAATTTGAATTCTAACCAATTTTTAATTGGATTCTAATTACCTTTTTTGAATCCATTTGATACTTTAAAATAGTCCATCTGAATTCGAGATAATTGAATTGGATGTAGATCAGACCATAGACTTTCAGTTTTCATTGACAAGCCTACTTGAACCAATATTCTGTGCATAAGTAGAAGGTGGTATTAATGGACCAAGTTTAGGTTGTACACAGTTTCAATTAACACCAATTTGAATATGTAGAATGGTCCAATAAGACATCAAATTGGACCAATCCAAATAAAAATATTTATCAAATTGGATGAACCTGGTCCATCCATAATAGGTGGCACACTTCAAGTGATGTTTGGCACATGTAGGTACTTTTTTTTGTTGTAATGGATAGGTGGCACACTGCAGATTTGTTCGGTCACTTGTTAGGAGTATCTCTGTTGGGAGCAGATTCAGACTCCTCACTCGAGTGGGGATATTGAAGAAAAGCCCATGTAAGGCCTCGCCCAGTGCATAACTTTGTCAAATATGTCAATAGTTAAACCAATAAAGTCATCTATTTGTTAACCAAGTCAATAGTTTTTTGCAATGGTTGGAGTGAAACATATTCTTAATTAAATTTATTACTAGTAAACATGTACGTGCATTTGCACGTGATAGTATCTCCAAGATAAAACTATCTACAATTCATGGACAGTTTTTGAACAGTTATAAGCAAGCAATTTTTGGAGTGAGAGTAAAGGACCTATATGCCCTTTTTTATGCCCGTTGTATGTTGCTTAGATATGGGGTAAAAATGTCTAATGAAAAGTCTAGAAAATGGGGTTATTCGCTCTTTTATTAGTAGTTAGATATGGTGATAGGTCAATGGATTTGACTATTTGGTTGAACAACAAATTAAAAACATGGATATGCAATACAAGCAAGAAGATTTAAAGTCAAAGTCTTTAAGTTGAAAGGCAATTGCCATTTAATATGGTGGCCAATTGGGTAGCCAAGTATATGTTTGGCATTGATGCTACAGTTGCAGCACCATTTTCTAAGAAAACGGAAAACGGTGCTGCTGATATGTGGGTTGGAAGCACCGTTTTCTTTTTTTTTTTTTGTTTGGAATCGTTGTTGCCAGGTAGGATGTTTCCTAGAGCAACAACAGCATTTTTTGTTTGGTACCAATGCTTCTGAAAACGTTTTCTGCACTTCTACCCATTATTTAGTGCCACATCACTGCCTTATTGGTAGCAACGAGTTGCAGCTCTAAGGAAACGCCAAATTTGGCGTTGCTCTAAGCCATGCCTTCTCAATTTCTAAGGGGTGGTTTAGAGCACCGTTTTATATGGAAAAACAGTTTTAAACAGATGACTATTTCCTGGAGCACCGTTTTTTCCTACGTGACACTGATGTGATGCCGTTACTCTAGGAAACGACAATGATGCCAAACAGCCGCAAATTTACATTGCTTTGCCACTCTTTGCTGACCTGGTCCAGTCTTGATTTTCTTGTTCAGCCACAAGGATTAGCCTGATCCAATGCACGACATAGATCAAGAGTTCAACCAATAAGATCATCTAATAGCTTTTTTTTTTGCAATGGTTGAATTGAAACTTGATTAAATTTATTATATGGGGAAGATTGATATAAAATACAATTTGAATGAATAAATTCATCGACTAACACACCAATTACTGATCTTTATTATCATATGAATGTCATCTCCGGTTTTATTAGTGAGTACATGCAAAGTGTAAAAAGGCGGCCCATTGAGTAATCAAATTTGCATTGCTTTGTCACTCTGGTGGACTTCGTCCGCGCCCAATTTACTTGTTTGGTTGGTTGATGAATGAATTGTCCATATGGTTCCTTTATGGGGCCAGGCTCGAAACCCCACCGCGTCCCGAAAGCCCTCCCAAACCGGCACCTACCAGACTGCTTATCGCTTGTCTCTTCTTGTCGCCTCCTCTTGTTCCCCATCACAGAAAGAACAATCTCCCTCTCGTTTTTGCCGAATTTTTCTATTTTTGAATAATTATGGATACTCAGAAAGAAGAATTTCTCAAAGAGTTCGGTCAAGATTACGGGTACCCGAATGCTCCAAAGAACATTGACGACATCCGAGCTTCCGAATTCAAGAGATTAGGGGGTCAGATTCTTGAATTCTAATATAAAAAATTTGTGATTTTTAGAAAACCCAATTGATACTGATAACTGTATCTTTTAATGTAAATTATAGATGTTGTTTACCTGGACCACGCGGGAGCTACTTTGTACTCTGAGCTACAGATGGAAGCGATAATTAAAGATCTAACTACTAATGTTTACGGCAATCCTCGTATCCAATTTCGAATTCTGGGTTTTCCCTTATTATCTTTGATTGGCAGAAGCAGGCTTTGGTTAGCTGGTTTTTAATGTCATTCTAATGGAAGTGTTTTGAATCTATTTCGTTTTCACTCTTAATTATCTACTTCAAAGAAGTTTCAGTTGCTTAATTTTATGTTTTTACTTCTCTTTTCACCAGGAAACCTCTTTTCTTTTCTTTTTAAATCATTAGAGGTGGATATTGATTGATTTTATGAAACTGCTAGAAATGGTTAATTATTATTTGTTATTATTTTAAAATTCTGTGCCACTTCTGATTTACAACTGTTTTCTTTCAACTTTGGAGACTATTTTTTCCTTATTTTCTATTGATGGTCTCCGTATGATTATTTTCGTTACAATTGGTTTCAGTTCAGTTCCTTTGTTCCAGTTAATGTTTTAGTAAGCATTACAGCATTACCAGTTCCAAATGAATTCCTTAGTGAATTGCTTAGATTTTAGTTGATATACATTTGATGTGGTATTTTTCTTTTTTGTTCTAAGAAATAAATTGTATTTAGTTTGCTCTTTATTGATATTCTATTTCTAGATCCATTGCTGGAACATATGTTGGCCCATTTCAATAGTTTTGATAGTACGGTTTTGCAATTGGGGTTTGCTTTAATTTGGAAAAATTCAGATAGTCAAAGTGAGTCCAGCTTGGCTACCTCTGAAGTTGTAAGGGCAGCACGTCAACTGGTTAGTAGGCTGAGACAGAGGTGATCTTTGATACTTAATGTATTATTTATTTCCATGCCTTGGTTGAAATATTTGGTGTGCTCCAGGTCCTTGATTACTGTAATGCATCGCCCAAAGACTACAAATGTGTATTTACTTCTGGAGCAACAGCAGCACTGAAGCTGGTTGGGGAGGCCTTCCCTTGGAGAAGAGAAAGCAGTTTCATGTACACTATGGAGAACCATAACAGTGTGCTTGGGATCAAAGAGTATCCAACCCACACAGTCATCCAATGCTTTTGTGGTTGGCTTGGTGTTATCATTTTCTTTTATTCTTTTATGGTATTCATTTTGTGTTTAATCATTATATTGTTATTTGTTGTGTCATTGGAATGCCATACCATCTCAAGCTCAAGTCCAGTTCATGTCCATTTAACCTGGGTCTTCCTGTTAATGGGCCATAAATGAGAATGTGTCCTGCAGGAAAATATTACAGATTGGATTATCCATACCATCTAATATTTTCCCACTTTCTAGATGGTTGAAAGTAGTGATTGATGGGCTATTGTTTATTCGAGTATGCCTGTTGTTTGGTGGTTTGTACCTATGACCATCAGATGTCAGTACTTGGAAAACCAATTCGAGGAAACACATAGTTTCTATAAGGTCTCAAACCTTTTAGACTTCCTCTTATTTAAATATGCATTGATTTTTATGAGTCCTCAAACTTTAAGATGTTCTCTTAATTCTGGTTACAGCTCCAGTGGTAATTACGGTATTATTTTCTACTTTCTATATTGGAGGTACTGATGGAAACTAATTGAATAAGCTAAGCTTCCTAAAAATGACAAGAAGCACTTTTTGTACAAAAAGAAGTATCAACTGATGCTACAATTTATTTAAGTTTCATTTTTCTACTCATATCTACATATCTAGTAGAAGAAATGGTCACTTGGTTTCCCAGCTGATACAGAATGTAGATATTTATGAGCATCTTGAACTGTTGATTCATGATTCATGATACTGGGAGACTAATTTACTGGGGAAGACTTATATGCATCTTGTGTATGTTTGTGTATTCCCTCTGCTGTCACCCTAGGATAGCTTCTATCAGTTCCATCTTTGTTAATTCATGAGTTTTATGGGGGCAGAGGGTTCTGTGGTATTTATCTGCTTATTCTGTAGTCTTTTCTTTTCTTCTGTTGCCAATCCAAATCATCTACACTGTAATATATGCTACATGACATGAAAATCTTCAATTTAAGTGCGCTACCACTTGAATGAGGACCATATGAATGCTCAGTGTTTTAAAAGTGAGAAGGGCAACTAAAACACAAGAAGTAACTAGAGCTTGAGGCACAAGACGCAAGGAAAGATACATGTCTAAATGCTGTGAGGCATTACTTTTGAAAAGGAAAACAAGAGGAAAGCTTAATATACAAGTATAGTAAATCTAAATTCTGAAAGAAATAAAATATTTCTAAAATCCTATTAGCTCAATTGGTTATTGTGTTTTAAGTTTTAACATGAAGGTTGTACATGGACTGAATCACTTAAACATCATAGAACATCCTCTGATATAGTACACATTGAACATTAAATTCCATGTTAGTTTATTAAAACATAACAATAATATAGGATTGCCATACCTAAGTTCATACAAGATACACTCTACAAAATGAGCCTTTCCTGTGAGCCTAGGTGTACCCAATATAGGTTTGCCTTTTATAATACTGATTAAGTTTATGTGAATTAACTGAAAAAGATTCAACTAACTCTTGTAAGGGATGATCTTCTATTAGGAGCTACTATGCTGCAGTATGTGATGATAGCATGAAGTGTATGACATTGAGGACATTGTACTGAATGACCTGGTTTCTTCATACTGTCTTCTTGTTTAGTTTTGAGTCAAATCCATGTCACAATCAGATTTTCATATGTGTGTGTGTGTGTATACAGAGAGAGAGATCAATGCTTTTTTAGTTTGTTCCTACTTAAGAATATTTAGATATGCTCTCAATCAAGGAGCTATGGCTTTTGCAATAGATATTGAAGAGCTTGAGAATTATAGTGGACTACCAAGAAGGGATGCCTCTTCAATTAAGGTTTCACGCTACTCTGTGCAAAGAAGAAATGAAGCCCCAGTCCAAGAAGCACCTGAAGGTAACCTAATTAGGGCTTTAAGCAGTTTAGGTACTTATTTAGGTATAGATAAATTCAAACTTCAGTGATTTAATATCTAATATTTATATATAATTATTTGGATATCTTGGATTTCTTTCTGGATTGGGTCATATGTTGTCCTTAAAATTAGTTCAAGATTCCTCAAACTTGAAATCTTTAGTTGTAAGCATGAACAGTCCTTTATGTTTATTACTAGGGCCAGGCAGTCAGTCCCAACAAGCCCCTCTTTTAATTGCAAGAAGACATTGGTGGGATGTACAAGTTAGAATTTACTTGGTCCATTGGGTTTCCTTTTTTTTTTGATAAATAACTGAAAAAGATTAATTAAATAAAAAAGAAGGACAAAGATAAGGGAGAGATGAACTCTCTTAACTCTCCCCAAGCAATATCACAAGATTACAACATAGCCTAAAATAGTTGATTCCTTCCCACCCCTTGTTTAGACAATGCATTGGCAAAGCAACAAGCATCTCTTTTCACCCAAAGCATATTCACTTCCATTCCTTGTGTCAACCACTTAAACCATCTTATTTCATTAATGTAGTCTCACCAACCTAGCTCCTCTTCCTTTTGAAATCAGCTCAGAATCCCCTTCAATTATCAAATTTTGAATATTCATTTCCTTGGCCTTTTGAACTCCTTCTAAAACAACTAGAATTTCAACTCTCAAAGAGTCTCCCACACCAATAGGGCTTGAAAAAAGGCCAATAATTCTTCCTTCACCATTTTTGCAAGCAGGTTTTTTGTCATGATTCCCACAGACGAGACCAATTTGATGCTGTCCGAATTGAGGTGGACGAGCAGCAGATGAATTTATATGAGCTGGACCTGATGACCTGTGCACATAGAAGGTCAGAGACCCTGAGGTGGTTCTCCAGGGAGGAGAACTCCAACGCTCAAGTCAGTAAATGAGTTCGGGTGGTCAGCTAGACCGAGCTAGGAGTTCTGGAGGCTAGTGGGCAGGAGAGCTAGGAAGTGAGAGAGAGTGAAGAGGATATTACCTTGGTCAGAGTGCTCTTAATACTCGTTGGAGAGTGCCGTTATGCTCCTTTCTTGAGGGACACGTGTCATGTCTCAAGGTCATCCTTGACCGAAGTTCCAGAGGCATGCTTCTTGCTTGAGGGACATGTTATATCTCGATCCTGACACCACATCGTCTTCAACCTCTGTTTGACTCTTCATCTCCCTTTCTGCTAATCTGATTCTCCTGATCATTTTCTACTCCCACCTTCTCCCTTCCAGTTTTATTGTTCTTATCTTCTTCTTTCTTTGCTCTCAAGATGGTCATATCCCTGGTTCAATGTATTGATACACCTCTGTGTGTTGGCAAAGGTGTATCAGTACTTTAACTGATGCGCCTTTTATTTTTTTAGTTTTTTTCCAAATTTCAGTTTTAAGTATAATTATATATATTCTTTAATAAAAAATGAGTTCATGAAAACACCTGTAAACCAGTGTATCGACACTCAAAGATATGATACGATACACCTTGTATCGGGTGTATTGTGTTGATACTTTGAACCTTGGTCATATCCTCCCCCTCTAAGATAATTCCTAGCTTGTATCTTGCCATTGTGGAGGTTTAGAAAATTAGGTTCGAAGAGTCCACTCATGGTTGAAGGAGGTGCCTACCTAACGCCAGACAACTCAAAAACAACTCTAAAATGCTCACCACAAAAGGACAATAGATTAACAAATGGTAAGCCTTTTCCCCATCAGCAAAAAGCAGAAGGGCAATTATGAGGATAAACTCCAATTGGTCTTCCTTGGAAGACTCTCACAAGTGTTAATTTTCAAGTGATAGACTTCCCAACAAAAGGTACTCACTTTAGGTGGTGCAGGTCCACTCCAAAATCTGAACACAGAAAAATATGAGGAGAGAAAGAAGTAAGCAAGGCATCCAAGAAAGAATAACAAGAAAAGGATTCTGAAGAGGAGATAAACCAAATTCTCCCATCAGTCTTACAAGGATCAAGGGGCACTCCTTCCAAAACTTTAAGGAGATCTTGCACACAAAGAATCTCAGAGTTCCTCAAATCCCTTCTGAAACTAAAGTTCCAATTCAATCCTGCCCGGGATGAAGATACAAGTTGATAAACAACCAAGTTCTTGAGAGAGGATAGATCGTACAAAAAAGATTTTTGAACAAATCATCCTCCACCAGATTGTATGAACTGGGGTAATTGATGATTATATTTTCTTTTATCTTTTTTGGTAAACTCTTTATTACTGATAGAAGAATATTGTATGGATGTGCTTATATGTCAGGTTTTTGGAATGATTGTGTTAATCACCTTGTATTGTGTTGCATATTGATATACATATTGATTATTCATAGCATAGATTCATACTTGACTCGGACACATATTGATATGAGTATCACGTTTTTTGGCTTTGATGATGTATCACCATTTTTCTTTAGTTGGGTCAGATGTGCTCTAAGCCAGCAACCATTTTTGTCACTGACACCTTCAAGAGAAGAGAGGAAGGCCATTTTAGTTTCAGAGACTGGGGGGGGGGGATGACTCCATTGGCATTTTGTAAACATGCAGGGAGAGAGAGAGAGGTGGGGGGGGGGCATGACCGAGCTCATGCACCAGTCTTGTTCTCCTAGAAAATTTGAAGAATCCATTTGGTCAAAGAGATAATAAAGGCAATATTGAGATTTTGAAAAAAAAACCTTAAACCACACATATTATCATGTGCTAACAGATATGTATGGAGAGTTAACTGGAGGTTTTTGTATATGATTGAGGGTTTCTTGCCCCTCCTCTTTTCATTAATACTATACTATCTTATTATCTATCAAAAAAAAAAAAACAGGAGGTTTTTGTCTGCTGACATCACCCAACACGGGAGTTCTAAGTCCAACTTGAAAAGTTAGGGGATGTTTCAGTATTTAGGTGAAAACTCAGGGGAGGTTCAAGTCTTTTACCCTAAAAAGTTATAGTTTGGTGTAACCATGATTACGTGGTTCAAAGAGTAAGGAGAAACAGAGAATACAATGTAAGAGGGGATTGGGGAGAAAGAAGTTATAAGGTGTACACCGTATTCTAATCATACACTTATCTTTTAAGAGTACAAAAAGACAATGGTTCCCCTAATAAGTGAAGAACACAAATAATAAGAAAACAACTGGCTATTAACTGGCTGCAGAAGGAAGAGGCTAGTTTATGGAAGTTCTCGAATGAGAAAAAGAAAATTTTCCAGCTCACTCAAGAAATGCAAATCCAGTTTCAGTGGTCTAAGAGGAGCGCCAATTCTTTTGCAGATTATCTAGCTAAACAAGGGGTGGGAAGAACTAGTTTCTTTTGGGCTGTATTGTAATGTGATGTTTTTTGGGTGGGGTAAGAGATTTTACCCCCCTTCTTGTTGCATCTTTTCCATATCCTTTTAATTAATAAAAGTTTCTGTTATTGATAAAAAAAACTGTTTTAATTTCCCCTGCGAATGGAGCATAGATATCATTTATGCTCAACTTGTTAAAAACATCATTCCATTTGTTTTTTACCACCTCCTTGGGAAATTAGCAGGTTGGTCTTCAGCCCTAATGTAAGTAGACACAATTCTTTGGAATCAACTTTTTCTATGATGAAGTGTTTATTCACCTCAGTGTATTTTGAGCATTGCCTTGCTGTTACAATTCAGACTCAGAGATCCATTTCTGCCAACATGATCTTTAGGAATAGTGTTTTTGACACACTACGAGCCATAGCTTTGAAGTCAGATTCAGCACTAGATCTTGCAACAATAAATTGTTTTTTTTTTCTCCTTCTTTTTGATCAATAACTGTTATGTTTTATTAAAATATCAAAACAGAGTACAGTGAAGCATGGAAGTTGGGAGACATAAGCTCTCTTAACACTCCCATTGAATCTCAGTTCAAGTTACAACTGGGCCCAGAAAAGATGTTCTCTATCCGTCCCTTGTTTTGTTAATACATCAGCAAAAGAATTTGCACTTCTTTTGACCATATATCCTAGGGTAGTTTCCTAGGTTCCATAACCATCTTTCCTTAATAATTATCCATAATTTTCATAAGAGAAGTATAAATTTCATGTGTAAGTCTAGAAAATCAACATTTTATGAGAAGAAAAAGAACAAAGGAAAGAAAATTCATAAAATATAGGGGCTGAACCCCTACTTTTGTTATATAGGAAAAGAAGAAAAGAAAAGGTGGAAGAAGAAAATGTGTTGATTAGACAAAATTTTAAGTTCTTCCCTTGCTTATTTATTTATTTATTTTTGATAAATGATATAAGATTTATTAGAACATAGTTAAGTATCACAAGATTACAGAGTACAGCCAGCGGAGGTGCAAGATGCAGCCCCAGCCATATAACCAGATTACAACTGAGCCCAGAATAATTCAGACTTATGCACCCCCTGTTTTGCAAAGAAGTCAGCCATCCCGTTAGCTGACCTCCTTTCCCATTGGACTTAAATTGTCATATATCTGACCAGCCACTTAAATCTTTTCACGTATTCTTTGTATTTCCAAATTACAGTTTCAGGTTCCTTCAACCACCCTATTACCAGTTTAGAGTCACCTTCAATTAACAATCTATCATAATTTAAATTTCTAGCAAGCTTTACTCCTTGCAGGACTGCTTGGAACTCTGCAAGAACCAAGTCCCCTACTCCAACTGGACTTGAGAACACAGCAATAACATGACCTTTGTTGTTTCTAAAAACTCCCCCTATACCAGTCGGGCCTGGGTTCCATAGGCTGCTGCTATCAAAGTTCAGTTTGATAAATCCTTCATCCGGTGGTTTCCAGCCCACAACAGGTTTACTCCTTGTAGCAAAACTTCTAGCTACAGCTTCCAAATTTCTCCACATATCATCAAAAGAGAAATCAGAAAATAACTTTAGAGACTTGGCCCACATTAAAGCTCTATATAAGATGCAATACAGAACTGCTTCCTTCTTTCTTTCTTTATCATTGAACACTCTACCATTTCTTTGTCAGAAGATGGTAGCAGTTTTCTCCACTTGCTTTACACAAAGTACACCAGTTAGGGGACAGGCACATAAAGGGTCTTCTTTTTTGCAAAACATCCAAAGTGTTTATTTTCCCATGGAAAACGTCCCAGCAGAAAGCCCCAATTAGAATTTGATCACAATTATTCTTTCATTCACAATTAGAATTTGATCAGTTGTTTGTATGTTCTTCAAAAACGCCCCTGATTAGGCAAGATAATGGTAGGGAGAGCTTACCTAATCCTTAGAGATAGCACCTTAGCTTTAATTTTATACACATTATTTGTGAAGCTAATAGGTCTAAAGTCTCTAGGATGGGATGCATTGAACTTCTTGGGAACCAAAGCAATAAAGGTGGATTTTAAACCTGAATTTATCACTCCTCTCCCGAAAAATTCATCGAATACTTATTGAATATCCTCTTTCAGTTTGTCCCAACAAGCTTGACAGCGATGTTATTCTACTAGTTCAAACTTCAAACTAGAAGAGAGGGCACAAGAATTCAGGGGTGTCAATAGAACGAATTGACCCCCACCCCCAAAGAATCTTATATATATATTAATGATATGTAGCTAACTTCCCAAATCCAGCTTTATAAGGTTTATTTGTGATAAGTATGCTACATTTGTCTATTTAATAGAGGGTTAAAGAAGAAAATAAAAGAGCATGTAATAGTGAAAAAGTACTGCTCATAAGAGCTGATGTACATGGAAATTTTTGAGCTGACTTTGGAAACAAATCATAATTCATAAAATTTATCAGAGGAGTGTCAGAATTTTTCATGTAATAAATTGGAGTCTTCTCACCATAAAATCTTTAAAAATTAAATGAGGAGGTAGTCTGTCTCCTATCTTCGGTCCCTTTCAATATGCGCTTTGCTGGTTGCAGGTAATATTTACAATTTATTTGCATTTCCATCAGAATGCAATTTCTCTGGTAGGAAATTTAGCCTCGACCTGGTGAAGATTATCAAGGAAGATTCTGAGAGAGTTCTGGAAGGCCCGCCACATAACAAGTACATAAATTCATACATTTTTTTTTTTTCGTTTTTTCTTTTTTGCTAATGTGTTGTACTTTTGGAATATAACAATTTACTTTCTGCTTTCTGAAAATCAATTGTCTCTCTCAACTGAACAAATTTTTGGTATAGCTATCTTAGTCGAACTTGAAAAGTTCCACAATACAACAAAAGATGGAAATGTGAGGAACCACCTCCATCCACACATAAATGTATCTAGTGCATCAGCATTTTTCTCACTATGTTTGCAGATGCCAACTGTTGTTGTATAAGCTTGAGTACCTTAAATTCTACTGGAACCTGGTACTTTAAAAATATAAATAAAATAACTTAAAAAGGAGTTTGTTTATTGTTATAATCACTTGGAAATCTGAATCCAAAGAATAGAAGTGGAAATTCTTAAGCACTGGAAGGCAGGAAAATGGAGAAAAATTATTACTTGATCCTTCCTCCTACCAACTGTTCTGGTCAGGGATGGAAGGACAAGAACTTGAATGATGAAAGTCTAGACATAAACCCAACTTGGAAATAACTGTCAAAGCACCTCTTTTGGGCCTCATTGAAGATCTGCTTCTAGCATATTTCCCAGCACGGCCCTTTCTCAATACAAGCAGTGGAAGAACTTTTCCAATTACACAACTATAGAGCCAAATGAGGCTACTCATTGCGTCTTAGAGGGCTATCATTTTCTCATCATCTCATTTAGAGGGTGTCTTCATTTTTCGTAGAGGGGTCTGTCTTTTGTCTTTATTCATTTTATTATTTTTCTCTCTTTTGGTTCCTTAACTCTAATGCCCCTTCCAGGTTAGTAGTTTCATTTTCATCTTGCAATTGCAGAAGAGTGTTGGCCTATCATTTTTCACGCGTAGAGCAATTGTTCAATGGCTTGTCCCAATATGCTTCAATGGAAAGCAGTATATACAACATCGGAACATATTTGCAGAAATATTACATGGTTCTCCAAATTGTGTTAGTATAAGACGATGTAAACAATTTAAAGTGTGAATGTTCTATGCCTGTATTTGTACTGTATCCTTGGATTAATTTGGTTTGGTCTAATGCATAAATAATTTTAGTCATCCTTTTTCATAAGCAATTTTAGTTCTGTGACATCTTCTATTCATGTATCAAGTCCTGAGTTCCTTTTTGTGTCATGTAATGATTTTGTTGAGCATCTATGTTATTTTTACTATTTTTCTCTTCTTTATTATATAGGGGCATTATTATCATTTTGTATGCTTTATTATTTTTATTTGATAGATAATTTGTATGCTTTATTATATGAAGTTGAATGAATCAGTAACTACCCTATTCCTGGTTTCATCACTTTCTTCTCTTCTTCTGGTGTTCTCCTTTTCCTCTTTCACTCTCGCTTCTTCCACACTAATTTATCTTATTGATTTCCATTTCCAATGTTTGAGAAGCAGGGGGTGCTGGATGGTCTTGATTGATGCTGCGAAAGGTTGTACCACACAACCACCAGATCTGGCTAGTTTTCCTGCAGATTTTGTTGTCATCTCATTTTATAAGGTATCTAGGTATTTTCTTACACTCAAATAAAGATACATAAGATATGCTATCTTCAGATGCTCATCATCCTCTTCATATTGTCTTGTTCAGATATTTGGCTATCCAACTGGGCTTGGGGCTCTCATTGTTCATACAGGTAAGCTCCTTTTTTGTTCCATACTAGTCTTCTCTGATTCATGTTTTAGTTATAGGCAAAACCAACTTTTTATTCTTGGAAAGTGGGAAATGATTGCACGATGGATTTGTAGAAGTTGCATCCATATTCTAATTTATGATCATTGATAGCATGAGCGATGGAGATTTTTAGCATGTATTTTTTTAACAATAAGTCTTTTCAGTTGATTTTGGAAATTATAACCTAGGGTTTGACTATGATACCAAAAAGACATCATACTGGAAAAACTTGTAGCCAATCAACCGGTATCAAAAAAGAAGTGACCAATCAAGTGGTATTCATCAAAATCAGGGGGATGCTTTGATTGGTCAAATCTCTTTTGATACCATGTCTTTCTGGTATCATAGATTTTCCCTATAACCTGAGAAAAAGGAGAGAAAAGAGAAGAAAAAGAAAGGGAAAAGGTAGAGAAAGATGCCTTTTACAGTATAGAACAAGAACAAACGAAAGTGAGATAGAAAAAGGATCTAAAGGAAGAAAATACGAACCAGTCTCTTCTCCATGTCGACCTGAACTGTTATTCTTTTCTTTAGAGTGTGCAAAATTATAGAAATACCCCTTTTAAGTGATTCTTAACAGGGGAAATACAATGCGATACTCAAAAGACTAAATTCCCTTTTTAGGCATTCATTTAAACACTCCCCTCAAGTTGGAGCATATATATCATAGAGCTTCAGCTTGTTATATATATAATCCATCTTGGTACGACACAAGTCCTTGGTAAACAAATCTGCAAGCTAATTTTCTGACCTGACAAAAGGAGTGATAATATCATTCGTCACCTTTCCTTTTAGAAAATGACAATCAACTTCTATATGCTTGGTCCTCTCATGAAAGACCAGATTGGACGCAATATGAGTAGTAACCTGATTTTCAGAAAACAACTTGACAAGTTTCCCTATAGGAATGCCTATCTCTTCAAGTAGATATTTCAGCCATATCAACTCACAAGTGGCATGGGCAATTTCTCTATACTCGGTCTCAATACTACTCCTAGCAACTACACTTTGCTTCTTATTTTTCCAAGTAATGAGATTTCCACACAAAAAATTATAGTATCTTGTAGTAGAGTTCCTGTCCATTAAGGAACCTGCCCAATTTGCATTGACTTATCCCTATAAGGTTAATTCTCCCCCTTTATTGTATAGTAATCCTTGGCTTGGAGCACCTTTCAGATATCTTAACACTTTTACAACACCTTTCTAGTGAATGATTGTGGGATTCTACATGAACTGACTTAGAATGGCTACACTAAAGGAGATATCAGGATGGGTGATTGTGAAATAATTCAATTTGCCAACTAATCTCCTGTACCTTCTAGGATCATTGAATGGATCTCTCAACTATTAGTCATTTTCATGTTAGGATCCATAGGGGTCTCAATTGGTTTATTTCCTAGTGACACATCTCATCAAACAAATCCTTGCGTTGTGACAAGGAGATTCCTCACTTCGTGCAGACTACTTCAATACCCAAGAAGTACTTCAAGGATCCCAAATCCTTGGTTTGAAAGTGCTATTTTCTATTTGGAGAAATATATTTATGACCTTAAACAGTCACCTAGAGCTTGGTTTGATAGATTTAGAAAAACAATTTTAAAAATTGGCTTCACTTAATCTTAAGTTGGCCATACCTTGTTTATTAGGAGAGTAAGTGGAATGGTGACTATGTTGATAGTATATGTCGATGATATTGTTATCACAGGGTAGGAATTGATGAATTGTAGTCTTTTCTTGCTACTGAATTTAAAATCAAGGACCTTGGAATTTCCGATACTTCCTGGGGATTTAGGTCACAAGGTCAAAAAGGGGCATTTATATTTCTCAATTGTAACTCCAATTGATCCCAATCATAAGTTAGGAATTGATGATGGAGATGCTCTTCTTAACAAAGGTGTTTATCAGAGACTTGTTGGTCGCCTTCTCTACTTATGTTTGACTAGACCTGAATGATGTATCATATGCTATGAGTGTGGTTAGTCAATATATGCATAAGCCTAGATCTTCTCATATGCAAGTAGTGAATAGAATGCTTGCCTATGTGAAGGGGTGTCTAGGAAAATGAATGTTGATTCTGATTATGGGCATCTCAAGGTTGAGGCTTACTTTGATGCTGACGAGGTAGGTTCTATTGATGATAGGCGTTTTACTTCTAGCTATTGTACCTTGGTAGGTGGTATTTTTGTATCTTGGAGAAGTAAGAAGCAATCAGTTGTGACCCAATCTAGTGTAGAGGCAGAGTATAGAGATATGGCTCATGGGGTTTTTGAATTGTTATGGTTGAAAAACTTGTTGAAAGAAATGGGAATACAAATTGATACTCCAATGATATTATATTGTGACAATCAAGCTACTATAAACATAGCCCACAATCCTGTTCAACATGATCGTACAAAGCATATAGAGGTTGATAGGCACTTCATTAGAGAAAGAGTTGCCAGTGGAGAGATTTGTTTACCTTTTGTGAGGTTTAAAGATCAGTTGGCTGATTGTCTTACTAAAGGTGTTCCCAAATCAAAGCTTGACAACAATTTTTGTAAGGGCATTTTTGTCCTTTTATGTATTTTTTTATTAGGGTGCCTAGTAAAGGGATTCTTTGTAATTTTATTCATTATGTTTAAATGAAGTCTTTCAAGGTGTGAACAGTAACATGCCTTCTTCTCTCGTAACTCTCTTATTCTCTTCCTCCCACACTCTTCCAACTAAATCAGTATCCTCTCTTTCCATACGATCCAAACATTTGCTAGGGTAGGCTTGAGTATGGTTTGAGGATGTTTTATTTTATGGAATGGTTCTGTTAACTCTAAATCTCCAATTTACTTCTCTTTGAACTTTTGTGTATTTTAATTGATTCCACTTTTGTACTGCTTATAATCCTCTCCATTATATGGGACTATCCCATTTTACCCTAACATTCTGACATTTTGTTTACTAATGAAAAATGCAGAAGCTGCAAAGTTACTAAAGAAGACATACTTTAGTGGAGGTTGGTAGCCATATGTTTAGTATTCATATTTATCTGTTATCTTTACTTTTTGTGTTCATCAATGCAACTTTCTCCAGGCACTGTAGCTGCATCTATTCCAGACATTGACTTTATTAAGAGAAGAGAAGGTTTCGAAGAATCATTTGAGGATGGCACCCAGTCATTTTTGAGCATAGCTTCCATCCATCATGGGTTCAGAATAATCCATTCTCTAACAGCATCTGCTATAGCCCGGTATGTTAATCATTAACATGCCAAGTAAATGAAAAAAATGACAAAATTTCCCTTTTAATTTTTCTATTCTCCATAGGAATTCTTGGCATGGAACTTATCCCATGATGTCTTTTTCTCATTGATTTCCATAACATACCTCTCATGATTTTTTTTTGCTTTTCAATTAGCTTCCACCATCTATATCATATATTTTCTTTTGGGGCTATTTTCTGGTATGGATCTATATCTGCTACATTTTAAGCTAAGTTCTTGCTTGAACTGGAAGTGTGCAGTTTCTTTGGTTGGTAGTGCTGCTTGGACAGTTAGACACCTTATATTAGGAACGAACTTGTGAATTGATAGATGCCCATGAGTTGACTTACATGGACTTATTAGATCCCATGTCTGGCTTGTCTGCCATATGAATAAAGCAATTAAATGTTTTCCCACAATTGAGGTCTATGACTCTTCTGTCATGGTTTTGAATCTAGCTCCCTTTATATAACCATCCTCATTTTTGAACGAAGGCTGCAATGGTGTGCTAAGTTCATGTCATCCCTATGTTGGGTAATGCCTTTTCATCTATAAAGTAGGTTTTGGAGGTGAACTCCAGCTAGGGGTGGATTCGAGCCGAGCTTATCTGAATATTTGGCTATTTGACCTCAACGCTTGAGTTAAAACCACGTATTTTTGAGAATGGCTTGGCTCGAGCTTTGAAGAAAACTGAAGAGAGGAGAGCTTGAGAGTTCAGCAATGAGGGT